ATAAGAGGAATTGGGTCCAGATACAACATTGGAACTTGCTTCAGATCTGAAAACACCATTCGTAGCAGCCTCACTAAAACCAGGCAACCAAACACGGACTGCGACTCCAAGAATTGCATTTACCGGAAACCCGGAAGTGTGGCAAATCATATATCGGTGAAATTAAGAGGTCATTGAAAGTCCGCATTGCCGAGCACAAGAGAAACACACAGCAAGGACAAACTAGTAAATCGGGAATAATAGAGCCTGTTTGGACTCATCAACATAACATCAAGTGGTCCCAAGCTGAGATCTATCTCTGTCTTATGTTAAATTCATGACATGCCTATACTACACTTACAGTGTATTTTTTCAGATTTCTTCCTATGAAATAATTTATTCCATTAATACTTTTAAATTCAAGAGTATTTGCTTGAAGAAATACTCAATTTAGTAACGGCTAATTTTGTACTCATAATAGGTATTACAATAAAATATATTTCTTCCATAAAAATAAGCACCTCACTGATTTTCAATAGTCCCCAATAAATAAAAATAAAGTAGCTATCTTCAATGATCATGGGAACCATTATTTTGAGTTTATGCATGTCACTGAATTATTTAAGAGGTGAGACTGGCCGTCCATCCGTTTTAGCGAGAATTTGGCAGTATGCTTTTTAAATTTAAATGCACGTATATCCTGCTGTTAGCAGGGAAAATTTTACAACGGGTTATAAATGCTTCCATGTCTGCAAGTAATATTATTGTTGGGAAACAGTGAAAACCAAAATATTCCATCCACAATTTAGTTGTTTTGCCAAATAATAGTAAAGCATATTTTTATTTGCACCACCAATACTGAAACTGCTAATTCAGGACAGCCCTTACTACTCTTATAGAAAATAGATGGACTTCTTTATACATATTTAATTTCGTTTAAAAGGTTAATGAAAAACTTTGTTCCTTCATAAATAGGTGTTTTATGGATCTACTTCAAGTTATACCCTGTGAATACCTAATCAGATTATTCGAAATTGTCGCCATTTCAATCAGGCACTTTTGTCAACTTTAAACAATTCCGTCAGCGTAAAAATTGCGTGCTCTGGATTTGATGAAGCCGACGAAGGCTGTTTTTGCCTGATCCTGATTGGTAAAGGTTCTAACAGTAAAAAAGTTGACGAAGTGCTTGAAAAGATGGTAGTCGATTAGCGGTAGGTCTGGGGAGTTTGGTGGGTCAGGCAGAACTTTGACGCTCAATTTTCTGTGAGACATTTTCATGAGACATTGTCTCGTGGTAATAACTCAGTAAGTTTAAACTTGTGTAGGCCTGATTACACAGGTATGCAAAAGAAACTTTTTAAAAAATTGTTTTGACTTCGTTAACTGATATTTATGTAGTTTTGATTTCAAAAATGACATTTGCTTTTATACATCACGTAAGGTTTGCATACAAAATAAGGAAGAAATGATTGAAAAAAAAACGAAGAATTGTGGATTTATTTTTATTATTTTAACATGAAGTAAAAGCAAAAAAAAATGCTACATAGCTAAACTAAGTATAATAGTGATACACAAGTGTTTGCAAAGTGATTGTAAGTCTGTAAAAATGTTTTCTATTTCCGTCAAAGCTTCTTTTGGTACTTTTTCTGCTGTGTTCTTGTGAATTTTCCCTTTTTAACATCCAACAGTAGTCTGCCATCATGTTAACATTCCACCGACCTTGGTATCTGCGTTCCATTTCTTTTATGTCTTGATGGAACCGTTCTCCTTGTTCCTCACCTTGTCCAGATGTGAGTGAAGGAAATGGACTTTGACACTCATATTGCAGTCCAACATTTTGTAGTTTTGTATCAATTCAGCAACCAAAGTTTTGTAGTTTGGGTCTTTTTTTTTCCAAGAAAGCCTGTTATAACAAGTTATAACAGATTAAAACCGTATTTCATCGTAGATATACACTCATATTGTGTAGTAACTTGTTCAAAAGCTCCATAATTCAGACTCAATTTACCGCTAATATAGGCTATATAATACAGAAACATCGAACCTATACCAAACCTAAAAACCCATTTAATAAGAAAATTTTAGGTGAAATTTGTGACTTATCTATATATGATAGAATTTTTTTACTATTTTTTTCCGTAATCTGCACACAAAATACTGATAAAATCACTAGTTAAATATCCTACAATTTTTTCATCACAGACCTGTTATTAACAACTTAAAACGACTTAGAATTTCTAATAGTTCCTTAAAATTGTACAACTTTTGGTTGAATGGTACAACAATTAGGTCACTCACCAAAGGAGTTACACACAAAATTATTCAACTCATATTTCAATGAGTTAGTTCTGTTTGTTAGAGCATAAACTAACCTTAGGAACTTTACTTTAGTAGTTTTCTGTCGATTGAGATGACGTATTTCCTATCTTCATTCTATCTCACTATCAATAAAGGACGAAGATAGATACAGGACATATGTATTTTTATAAGTAAAAAAACTCTCCAATCGTGAAGGGTTCAAAAACAAAGCACATGTAATTTTCATGAAATGTATAGACGTCCTTCTTCTTCTTTTCGATTCAATGGCCTCAGCAACTAAGGTTATCCGACCAGGCAGAGACGTTTTAAAAAAATAATTGACAACTGTCCTAATCTTTTTCACTTTTCAGTTTTATTGTCCTCGGCTTCCAGAACTAATCAGTGTTCTGATATGGATTTCTTCGTGTCATGATGTTTTCCTGACGAGGTGAAACACCAAAAACACATGATAAAATAGTACGTGTTGAACTATTTATCCTTCAGAAGAATTTACTTGCGGTTGAATTCAAATATATGTTTTGTTTTTTAGACACCGTTTTACTTTTTTCCTTGTCCTTTCGCCCAAATATAAAGTGTCCCTATATTGTTATTGTATACATTGTTGCACTCAGTGAGACACGCTAAGAAATCTGTCTACATTTTCACACAATAATAAATCAAAGTGAACGAGGTACACATGTGGTTGCGGTCATGCCTCATAAAAGTTCTCTTTGAGTCGCCGTTGAACGAAACGTCTCAAGCGTGAAACCGAAAAACTGTAACACTTCGTTTAGTTCCTACAGAAATGAAAGAATGAATGAAATTAAAAATAGCTCATTAAATTAATCGATCTTCCAATGTGGATTTGAATTTTAATGTTAGTTTTTACAAACGATAATTTGCAATTATCTACTCAAACACAATAAGAAATTCACATCTCAAGTTGAAGCAGTTTGCCGTCTAACAGGAAAATATCGTATCTGCAGGGCAGTCAATGACTACAAAGCAATTTTTAACACATTCAAAAAAGTTCTTTGTTTGAACAAAGAGAAACAAATTAAATATAAAAAAATAGAGTACTGTTAGCACTAGTTAGTTTGAATACTTAAGGAAAAATTCTTTTTACGAAATATTTACTTACTTTTTATAGAACTTGCAATACATTCGACAAGAGCTTACTGGAATAATTGAAATTTCCCCATCATTAAGTCAGCACCTTTTGCAGCATTTAGTGAATTTTATTTAAAAAATGTAGGCCACACATTCCGCTCCTTAATAAAAATCAGTCTCTTCTCCATAAAGATACTTTCTGGATTCAAATACTCATTTTTTAATTGCATTAGAAAAATTATTTCTCAAATGAATAGTTTTTTATTCTAAAAACCTTCTCAATCATTGTCAATCCTCCTAAATCCTATAAAAGATATATAGCGCCAACTAGTGAAGAGTAGACGAACTTTGATTCGGTGGCACATAAAGAGAGCTTGAAATTTATAACGCAAGATGACGCCACGACTCAACAATAGCAGAGAAGTTTCCCTATTTCATACAAAATGACACTTGCTATTCTTCATTTGTAACTTTTTCAATTTCCTATATTTTCTTTTTTTTTTATTAGGAATGATTTCATAGAGAGATGTCCTACAAATTTGATCATTCATGGAGTCGTTTCTTCAATTTCCAATGCTGTTTACGTTTGGAAATTAATTTATATTAGATGAACAAAACATGCGTGACAGATTTCGATCCTTGCTCCATCTATCAACATGTGTACAAAACTGCATGAATCTCATTTCTTCCGTCTACAAAATAAAAACTATTCTGTAAAAAACTAGGATTTCTATGCACGTTTTTTTCTTTTTCAACTCAAATGAATACGGCTCTTTAAATAGATTTTCATCAAGGAAATTCGCAACTGTAGGGCTGTATGTTTCAAATTATGAATAGTTTTTGTTTACATTTGAAAATTTAGGTATATTTCAGAAATATCCTCAAGTGAAATAGTTGTTTATGGAGAATATTTGAAGTTCTGCAAAATTGTATAACTCTTATAAAAGCAAATAAGTTGATTTGAATTGTACTATAATTTATTTATTCATTTCTGTCTACTTGTATTCAAATCATTAGCGGAGACCTATATGTTGATGTTATTAATTGCATTGATAAATAATGCCGTCGTTTATCTAGATAAATATACTTTCTTTTTCTGAATTTCTTTATTATATATTGCTAGAACTGTTAGGTTAGGTCCAAAGTGAGTGGGTCATTCGACCCTCCATCGCAACCCGCAAGGGTTTATTGTGGCTCACACCTATTCACATTCGGACAAATAAACCCAGCTTCTTAATGAAGCCGATTAGTTTTTATAGTAAGAGTACGGCTCTGCCGAACTTTAGAAACCTGATTCGATCCCCAGCGGGGCAGGCACAAAGTATGTGCTCTGCTGTTCAATCATTTTCTAAACAGAGGCGACACACACTGTCTTTTGACAGTCCCAGTCTCTGCATGTGATTCAAATGACAATGACCTGTAAGAAGGCCTGTTAGACATCGTAGTTCATCCCTACTGTAGTCCATAAACTGTTTGGTTGTTGGACTACAATAGAACTGTAATCACCAATGTTATTTTTCCAATTTCCGAAGTTGCGAATAAATTATTATATTATTATTTATGCTCATTATTTTGTTCTTTTTTAAAAAAACATGCATAACCAATAATTCCTCATATTTCAAAGTTTTTTAAAATGGTATCAATTCTTTTTGTTGGGCTTCTTAATGTGGTGATAGTTTGGTAACATCTTCATAAGAGTCTCCATCTGCAGCGTTTGTGGCTGAAAAAAAAACGAAGTTAGGTTCAATCTATTAGAACAATTATTAGCTTCAACAATATTTTCTTGTCAAAACAAGAGCCCAGAAGCAAATCATTTGTGATCCAACCCTTAATAAGCTATTTCAGCCTGCCTCTGGTCTCTTTAGTGGTGCTAGGCTGAACAACGAATGCGCTGTTGGACATATTCATCGTTAAAGAACAAGCCTGAAAAATCAAAGGAGATGACATCCCAAAAAACATCTCCCCTCACAAAAACTTCATCTATGAGATCGACAGAAGATTCAATCGACAAATAAAATACCTTACTCTCTTGTGGTACTACAGATAATTTTTCCAGGGTTTCCCCGCCATTGAGGAAATTGATTTTTTTTTTCAATTGAACACCCTCAATTTCCTGAAATTTCTCCATTTTCCAATGATGAGGTTTTGAAAATGGACACAGATCAGATGAATCGTTAATTACAAATGAATATAATTTTCATTCTATTTTACTTCTTAACTGGAGAAAAACTTGAATCATATATCATTTTTCAGTGTGAATTTATGATGATGTTTTATCAGGGATTTTCTGCTATTGGAAAAAATGCATCAAATTTGGTGTGAAAAATGGAATTAGGTGCTCCTGAGACGGAAAAATATTTACAAGTGGTACAAACATTTCACAAAAGAAAAAAACGATGTGAATGACGCTCGCTTTAATCGCCTTAGTAATAATAATAATAATATGCTTTATTATCATAAGACATAATCTTGTAGACAAAGCTTGTGTGGTACATACTTTAAAAAATGCAATACATACCAACTGAAATTAAAATAAAAATATAAATAGTGCATGGGTACAAACCATGTTAAAATGGAGGATATAAAAGATATGTATATATAAAAGAGTAAAAGTCAAGTTTATAAAACAGTAGTCATAAAAAGTAATAACTTGAGAGCTCCTTAATATGTAAAGATAAAAAATATGCATAAGTCAGTTAAAAGCTACTGTTAAAATATTCATCCAAAGTATAATAGGGTCTATCAGATAGAAATTGTTTGACTAACTTCCTGAATTGGAAGTCTTTTATATTGGCAGATCTCATGTCCATAGGCAAATGATTGTAAATTTTTCCACCGTTGTAAAATATGGAGTCTCTGGTAATGTTTTTTGTTGGCACAGTGAGTTTCAGAGTGTGTCTGCAGTTTCGGGTGTTATAATGGGAAGAGGATGTAGCAAAATTTAATATATGCTTATTTATTAAACACACAGATTCCAGTATAAATAATGCAGTTACCGTTAGAATATTATGTTTTTTGAAGAAGGTTCTACAGGAGTCTCTTGGTTTAAGGTTTCATATCGTATTGCCCTTTTCTGTAAAATGAATAGACTTTTGAATAAAGTTGGACTGCATGCTCCACAAAACGGTATTCCGTATCGTAAGTGAGAATCTATGAGTGCATAGTACGCCATCTTTGCAGTGATGAACCCCAATTCTTTATAAATCACTCTAACCGCATAACAGCCAGAGGAGACTTTTTTAGTGAGTTGTTTAACATGATCCACAAACTTTAAATTCTGGTCAATAAAGACGCCTAGAAATTTAGTGTTATTTTTAGGTTCCAGTGATCTGCCTTCAAAAAAAGTTCATCAATTGAGCATCTAAATGATAATAAATTTGTTTTAGTTAAGTTAAAAGATAAAATGTTTGAATCACACCAATCTTCAACTTTTTTTCAAGTCGGCAGAGATTATTTTGTGCAACTCACAAGTGTTTTTATTGGTCCAAAGTATGGTAGTGTCATCTGCAAATAAGGTGAACTTCCCAGAAATTTTGAGCTTGGTGAAATCATTAATATATAATAAGAAAAGAATGGGACCTAACACAGAACCTTATGGAACTCCAGAATTAATTTTGAGATGTTTTGACCATTTGCGTCCGTCCCATTAAGTAGGAATCGAACCATTTGTGAGCTACTCCTCTGCATCCATAACGTTGGAGCTTTCTCAGCAGTATTTTGTGATCAACGCAGTCAAATGCCTTTGACAGGTCATGAAATACTGCGGCAGTCTTTTCACCGACATTTATCTCAGAATAAACTTTATTCAGAAATGAGAAAATAGCATCGTACTCCACACAATTGACAGCTTATTTGGAGAACTTCCAACTAATGCCTTTCATTCAGAACGGATTTCGAAAAAATAAATCAACTAATACTGCAATTTGTGACTGTTTGGAATTCATATATAGAGCATTGAACGAAAGAAAAAATGTCATTGGCCTATTCTATGATCTAAGCCGGGCATTTGGTAGTACAGACTATAACTTATTAAGACTCAAACTAGAAGCTATAGGAGTTCGTGGTGTTGCTATAGACTGGGCAACTTCTTACTTGAACAGTCGAAAACAAACTGTTGTATTAGATTCCATAAAATCCAAGACAAGAGAAAGTTATCATAAAGGTGTACCTCAAGGCTCCATTCGGGGACCTCTTTTCTTTATAATATTCACGAGCGACATGAAAAACACCTGTGTTGCTGCAGATCAAATCATTCTCTATGCAGATGATACGAATATTTTAATGTCCAGGACAAATAATGAACAACTAGTAAAGAATGGTAATGAGGCATCAAAGGAAATCAGTGACAATTGTAGGAAAAGTGGACTAGCACTAAACACCGCTAAGACCTATCATATTCGATTCATACCAAAAAATATGAATCCTGATAATGATCTCTACTTAACAGTCGATGGAAAATCAATATAAAGCAGAGAGGATGAAGTTCTTAGGTGTTGTGCTTGATAGGAAACTTTCATGGGAAAACCATATCATCACTTTATGTTCAAAACTCACACAGGAATCTGAGGGATACAGTATCAGCTGATGTACTGAGAATTCTTTATTTCCGACTGGCACAGTCAGCTATGCGATATGGAATAATATTTTGGGGATCCTCAACTCACATACTAGGGGCTTTTCGTTCCCAAAAAAAAATCATCAGAGCTATGAATAAAACTCACCTTTCAGAATCTTGTAAGCCACTATTCCGAAATTCTAAAATACTAACGTTACCCTGTCTACACATCTTGAACTTGATATTGTTTATAAAGGACAATGAAAATACTTTTCTGAAGAATGACCAGATACATGCACATGATACAAGGAATAAGGAAAATATTCATCTGTCCTTTTCCAGGCTTCTCATTGGTCAAAATTCCCCAAAATATGTTGGTGTAAAATGTTTCAATAAGATGAAAAATCTAATAGATATGAGCAGTAGCAAGTCAGCAGTTAGGACTAAAATATCAACATATCTCAGTTATAAAGCTTTCTATTGCATATACACAATGTGTATTCTTTTGTGATTTTTAAAAATGATTATGATTATAGTTATGGTATCGAAACCACCAATTAAATAGCCAAGTCAAATGTCAAGGTTTTGCTAACTGTTTTCTTCAATTACAGTGGCGTAGTCCATCAAGAGGCCATGCCACATGAAGTACCTGCCTACTCGTCATGACTTGTTCATAATTTTTTGGCCAAAAACAACAACGTAATCATGCCTCAGCCACCGTATTCACCAGATTTGTCCCCCTACGACTTTTTCCTGTTCCCAAGATTGAAGAAACGCTGGCACAATTGAACAAAATGGGCCAAAATAGAAAATGATGAATAAATGAATATTTTTTGAGAAAAATCAAAATTCACTATATTTTCAATAGACCTTATTGAATGTTGAAGAGCATTTGCACAAAAAAAAATATTGATTAATCTTTCGAGTCAAACCCAACGATACTAAGAGATCCCTATTGTCTGAAGATGAATGATCAAATGATAAAATCATTTTATTGGGTTGGGTAAATCCTCTGATTCACAGATTTTTTTTCACTACTAACCCCAGGTTTGTCGAGTCCTTCCCGCATCTGACATCTCGACCCAAAGATGATAGCATTCTCCTTCAGTATCTGCTCCTCGGTAACCCTACATCCAGCACCTATTGTACATCCATTTGAAACAGTGACTTTGTTCCCAACAAAACATTTTGACTCAAAAACGTTGTTGTTCCCAATTTTTGGAGACTCCACCGTGCAATCAACTTCAAAAACATTATTTGAGCCGATAATCAAAACTGGAGTCGTATTCTCTTTGCTTGTCTGATCGAACGGCAGCCTGTAATGAACAATGAATCAAATTTACATCTATCACACTCACGTCACAGTTTAAACTGGACATAGAATCGAACCTTACAGTACACCATATTTAATGTCCTTTTGAATAATAAATAAGTTGGCATCATGGTAAGATAATAAATAATGATCAAAACTAATGAGAGCAAAAACTACATTGAGAATAGTCTTTCTATCATTCTGTTGTATGTAAGAATATTTTTGTTCGATTCATTCTTGGCTCAGATTCTAGTTATACCTTTACCTGTGTATTATTTTGACTTGTTCCTCTATCAAACAGCAGTCTCCAATGATGATGGGACCTGCTTCTGCACAGATAGTTGCGCTAGGGTGTATGATGGTACCTGAGCCGATTATTATATCTCCTCGTAGCTTGCTTTCTTCGCACACCAATGCTCCAGGGAGAATTTTGACGCTGAAAGATCCATGATTGGTTTTAGCAAACTACATTTGTTGCGAAAATGAATTGTTTACCTGTTTCTTGACATTTTGGATTTCTAACCTTAAAAGCAGAAAACATCAAGTTAATGAACTATGATTGTTATGTTTTATGTCATTCGTCACTGCAATCTATTTAGCTGTGTTTTAGTAACACTAATCTTATGCCAGATTTTGCAATTCCCACCAAAAGTTATTCGCTCTCTTTGCTAGATGTTTTTAATCGAGCATTGCTGAAATAATTTGGTGGGAATGGCCGAGTCTGGAATGAAATTAGGAAAAGATAGAACTGAAACCTATGACGTGAATAGATCCAACACGAAAGCATTGCTGCTCAGTCTACTTCATCTCCTGTAGGCGCCAACTTGCGTGAAAATTGCGTTGAGAAGACTGATCCAGTTTTAGTGATTGTGAGCAGTGCTTGTTATTATTTCTAACGGAAATCAAGCTAAATTCATATTTGGACATGCGAGCCTTTGATCTTCATTAATGATACTTTCAATAACCACTATCCCCCTCAGTAAACTTTATTATATCTTCCTATTTCTTTGTTGTAATTCAAAGGGGGCTATTACAACAAAAGGACTTCAAAATGTCGAAATACCATTTGTATTGAATTTTTCACAATGCTTTTTTGGTACCTTCATCATGGATAACTATGTTCATTTGTCTTATGTTGTAGGAGGTTCACAGCCATTTGCAATCTCATCAACCATATAATTTCACATAATTATTCCACCAACTATATCAATTCTCGCTAAAATAATATCTCATCGAAGGCGGATTTCGACTTGCAATCATCTTTTGATATGATAATGAGGACTATCGTTATAATTAGCATTCCAAATTTGATAAGGTGAAAACAATTAACTTTTGTGAATTATCTGAGACGATTAACTTCCTTTTATCAACGTTTCAATTCCTGGCTTCTGACATGTATAACATGAAAGGTTAGATAATTGGTAGTGTTTGCAGTGTTTCAATAGGTAAATCATCTCCGTCGTAGTGTTATAAACACTGATTGACTGATTGATTTAGCGATACTGACAATATTATTTTTATTTCTTTGCTAGCCTCGAATTGTAAGTAAAGCTGTGCAAGATACATTTTCTAATATATTATTTTTCAACCCAGATGTTACTCACTGGGTGATCAGGGTTCAAAATATACCAACCATGCAAATACTACTAAATGACATATGAGAATGAAATGAGGTTAGTTCGTTTGTAAAAAACTCATCTGGGTGGATCATTATTCTTGTTCTTATTAATTTTTAATAAAAGTACACACAACCCTTTCCTATGGCGGAGATACGAAATTTTCTGTTTATTTCTATTCTATTTATAATAATCAATTGAGTAAAGATACGTGGAAAGCAAACTATTGCTGCCCAAGAACTGCTGGAATTAGTGATACGTTCATACGTTGGTTTTTCATTTCTTCTCTCTAAAACCAATGGAACTTATGTATGTGTTGAGATTTGGTGAATTGATTTGTTACTAATGTTTATATCGTTTTACAAAGGATCTTTGAAGAACTATAGAAAGATTGTTGTTTCCAGAAATGATCCATTTTCTTGATTTAATTGAACAGGTCATGTTTATGTCAAGGATTCAAAAAATCAAAACGGTACCAACCAACAAAAAAGTGTGTTGTTCAATATAACGGGTGAGAATAAAAAACGAAGTATTTACTTGATATTTAAATATATAATTATAACGGTTTTGTTCAAATACAAAGCACAATAATTTATGTACAAGTATGGTATCCAGGGAATTTCAAATAAATAAAATTTGGCACTGAAAAACATTTCCTAAAGTAATCAATGGTTTTTTTCTCAATATTCCACTCTCAGCTTTCACTAATGTCATCATTAACAGAATTAATCCTTACTAAAATATAAATATTTTTTCAATAGTATTGAAAAATATAAGTATTTACATTTCAAAATCAAATATGTTCATACAAATTTCAATATTCTATTTATAGAGGTTGTGAGACACGTCAGGAGATATTATTTGAAGATGTCAAGTCGGTACTTCAATAAATTGATATTATATAGGTAAAATATTGTTGCCATTAAATTGGAAGAAATAAATGTTTGCAACGCAAATTATCTCAAGCAAACTTTTGAAATTGTAGCTAAAACATGATGGCAAGGAAATGAACAAAGTCATCAATATCTTTGAATTCGTTGAAAGCAAATCGCATGTGATATTATTCCCCTTGCCATCATCCAGAAATATTTGTCAACTTAGTTTCTTTAGTAATACATTAGAAATAAATCTATTTCGCTGTTTGATGAACTTTAAAAAAAAGTCCAACCTATTCGAAACGAAGATGACTGTCGAGAAAAAAAGTATATAAAAAGACACTGTAATAATTTAATGAAAAAGTGTACACTCTTGTTTCATCTCATGAAACATGTCCTGTATAATAAGTTGTAAAATATCAGTGAAAACTTATTCAATTGAATTGAATCACTGCACTTCTGCCAACGACACAAGTCGATTATTTCCATTAGCATGGAAGTCGATGATGTCGACGAAGGCCGTTTTTGTCTGGTCTTGATTGGCGAAGGTTCTACCGGTGAACAAGTTATCGAAGTGCTTGAAAAGATGGTGGTTGGTTGGCGAAAGGCCTGGGTAGTGTCGTACGGTGATTTGTGCCGGCTTCTGCTGACGCAAATTTCGGTACGTTTCGTCGGTTTCCTCCCCGAAACACAATGAACAAACCTTACGCCAATGTACGTAAAAACTTTTAAAGATCTTGGCGACACTACCTGTTTCCACATGTACCCCTGAAAAGACTTTTTCTTTTCTGAAACGCTTCAAAACTTATTTAAGAAACTCCCACAAGACAGGAACGACTAAACGGTTTGGCGTTAATGTCAATCCACCGTAGAATTGACATCGACACCGAGGAGGTAATTGATTTGTTTGCTGCAAAGAAAGCTAGAAAACTAAATATGATTTTGTTATTATTTCTGTAATGGTTTTCTAATAAATAGATATTTTCATCTAACACCATTTTCTTTCTTTCGTTATTTTTATATTTCATGTTTTTCTACTGTTCCACCAAACCAAACCCCCTCCGAAATTGTTTTCTGGCTACATCCTTGGGTCCGGTTACAGAAAGCTGACCACCACATGGTAACTATGGTTTTTTTTGGTGGGTTTTCGCCTTCGACACAGTAGAATAACTATTTATGGAGATATATAGAGCTACTACTAAAACACATTACATTAAAACGGACAAAAATATTGGTTAGGTTCCCAATTACTCTTTTATAGTTATTTTGACAATCTGTGATGTGTTATGTGTTTGTTAAAGTATATGTATTCATGTGATTATATTTTATTAGTTGAATGTATTTCTTTTGACGTATGTCTAAACTTTATATGTTGTAATAGCATGAATAAAAATATATCTATCTATAGTTCTTGATTCGCCTCATCATTTTATCCGGATCCAAACTTCAGTCAAAGTGAAAATCTTCCATCCACAGACGCTGAGTAAAGATGAAAATAAATCCGCCCATATACTTAGAATTTCTAATAGTTCCTTAAAATTGTACAACTTTTGGTTGAATGGTACAACAATTAGGTCACTCACCAAAGGAGTTACACACAAAATTAATTAACCCATATTTCAATGAGTTCTGTTGGTTGGAGCATAAACTAACCTTAGGAACTTTACTTTAGTAGTTTTCTGTCGATTGAGATGATGTATTTCCTATCTTCATTCTATCTCACTATCAATAAAGGACGAAGATAGATACAGGAAATATGTATTTTTATAAGTAAAAAAACTGTCCAATCGTGAAGGGTTCAAAAACAAAGCACATGTAATTTTCATGAAATGCATAGACATCCTTCTTCTTCTCTTCGATTCAATGGCCTCAGCAACTAAGGTTATCCGACCAGGCAGAGACGTTCTAAAAAAAATAATTGACAACTGTCCTAATCTTCTTCACTTTTCAGTTTTATTGTCCTCGGCTTCCAGAACTAATCAGTGTTCTGATATGGATTTCTTCGTGTCATTGATCAGATTTGAAATTATACAACAGTCATGATGTTTTCCTGACGAGGTGAAACACCAAAAACACATGATAAAATAGTACGTATTGAACTATTTATCCTTCAGAAGAATTTACTTGCGGTTGAATTCAAATATATGTTTTGCTTTTTAGACACCGTTTTACTTTTTTCCTTGTCCTTTCGCCCAAATATAAAGTGTCCCTATATTGTTATTGTATACGTTGTTGCACTCAGTGAGACACGCTAAGAAATCTGTTTACATTTTCACACAATAATAAATCAAAGTGAACGAGGTACACATGTGGTTGCGGTCATGCCTCATAAAAGTTCTCTTTGAGACGCCGTTGAACAAAACGGCTCAAGCGTGAAACCGAAAAACTGTAACACTTCGTTTAGTTCCTACAGAAATGAAAGAATGAATGATGACGTATGTCTAAACTTTATATGTTGTAATAGCATGAATAAAAATATATCTATCTATAGTTCTTGATTCGCCTCATCATTTTATCCGGATCCAATTTTCAGTCAAAGTGAAAATCTTCCATCCACAGACGCTGAGTAAAGATGAAAATAAATCCGCCCATAAAGAGAGCAACTCCATGACAGTGTAAAATATATACTGTCGACGGATAGCTCTCTTTACTTTCGAATTTATGTTGAAAAACTCCTACTCCATCTTCCTCAAGATCCTCACCTGTAAAAAAAAGAAACATTACTTCAATCCTTCATGTGACATTTGCACAATTTGCATAATAAACTTAGATAATAAAATGAATATTCGTCGGTTCTCATTAAAAAACAAAGTTCCCTTGCCAAGTCTGTCTGTCTGCCTGAGCGAGATAAACTCAAAAACTACCGGAGGGTTTTTCATGCGGTTTTCACCAATGGCGGAATGATTCGTAGAAATATCGTTGAAATATGACGATGGTTGTCGAAAAAGTCAGATTAAAATCAAGTACACTAGGATCTCTCACCAGCTTCAATTCAAACCATTATATAAATAGTATCTGTTTATGACAAAGTGTCGTTA